GTTGGAGGAAAAAGTGATAGAGTTGACGGGCTTGCACACTTCCACATCGGGGATCAATGGAGCTGTCTCTTTTGGTGTGGTAACAACACAGACGGTTACCCAACCGGTGGTGGAACCTGCGGCAGTCATTCCTATGCCAACTGAGCCAGACAATGCCAATGTGCAGAGGCGTTCCCCTCCGGTAAAAAAAACGACACGGCCACTTTGGTACAGGAGCAAATAAATTTGCAACGAAGCTACTACCAAAAAAGTTTGGCCTTTTTGGAACGCCAGGCTGAGTCTGCAAACGAGCTGGCAGATAACGTGCGACGCATGTACCAAGTACAAGAAAACATGCATGACATGAAGAAGGAAAAATTGCGTGAATTAAAGAGGAACAATATTGAAATGGAGGCCCTTAAAAGAAGGGAGCTTGATTTGCAGGAAAAATTACTGCGGATACAAGAAAGAAGCCAGCAAAAATGAACTAATGGATACATTTTTTAAGATTTCTTTATTTTTGAATTTAATTTAATTTTGCACTGAAGTGCTGATTTTTTTAGTTTTTTTTTATTTAAAGATTATTGGATTTAAGACTATTAGATTTAAGAATATAACTGAACTAAAGAAGTGAACTAACGTTTGTGATATCTGTATATATGTATAAACTATTAGATTTAAGAAAAGAACTGAACTAACGCTTGTGATATATGTATAAACCTATTAGATTTAAGAAAAGAACTGAACTTAAGAGATGAACTTACGCTTGTGATAACTGTATATATGTAGAAACTATTAGATTTAAGAAAACAACTGATTTTTTTGTATATTTAGTTTTAAGTAAAGAACTGAATTTATTTTAAATTTTTTATATCAAATAAATATGAAGTACAAAGTTATGGGATTGTTTTCATTAGTTAGGTAATGATCTCAAAATTCGCATTCTTATGTCTGACGCTTCTCTGGAAAATTCTGATGGCGCTTCCTCTTCATTTACATCTTGATATTCATCATCCATAATATCAGGTGTATTATCTTCTACGTTGTAGTGGATGCACATGTTGTGCAATGCGCATACCACATGAATTATTTGTACCACTTTTTGGGGCGAATAATGTAGTTGGCGAGCACTTAGCAGGCATCGAAATCTATTTTTCAAAACGCCGATGACTCTCTCGACTATGTTGCGCGCTTTACTGTGCGTTTTGTTGAAGGCGCTTTCTCTACTTCCTGCCACAGGAGAACGGAATGGTGTAATTAACCATGGCTGTAAGGGATATCCAGCATCGCCTGTTAAACAAAATATTTTTAGTTATATTTAACACATTTTGCTCTCATTCCACTTATAACATACCTAATATCCAAGTTGTTTTGTCTCCTTGCCGATATCTCTCTTCAAAATAGGTTTTTGCAGCGCTTACATTCCACACATGTGAGTCGTGGCTACTGCCTGGAAACCGAGCATCAACGTACCTTATTTGCATCTTGTTATCGCAAATCTATTTAATAAATTTACGATAAATTGCACGTACAAAATCACTTTGCTCTTGTGGTTTTACTTACCACCATTGCATTTAGGCTGTAGTATCCCTTACGATTGTAGTACAAATACGGTTCGTCTGCAGGAGGAAGTATTTTAATGTGCGTGCCGTCCACACACATAATAACGCCAGGGAATTGCGTTCTCCTGTAAAACCACATTTTGGCTCGTTTATTCTCCTCCTCCGTCATTGACAGTTTAATCCATACTGGGCACAGTCGGCGTTCCAAGATGTTTAAAGTTTTTGTCAATGTTTTTGAGAACGTTGATTGCGCCAACCCCACATCAAAATCTTTCCCAACACCGTGTTGGTAGCTTCCTTCAGCGAAAAACCTCAAAACTGCCATCAATCTAATTGCAGGAGTCACCGATGATGATTTTACACTTCGCCCAAGCTCTTCCTCCATAATTGTTAAAACGCTTTTAAATGCGTCTTTGTTGAGGCCGAAATTTTTTACAAATCTTTAAACATTTAAACGATATAACGATGAGTTAATGATCAGTTTCAAAATTATGTTTTTATTGTTGGTTTGTACTAGGCTATTTGGATCAATTTGGCTTATGTGCAAGAAAAAACTTTCTTCACTTTGCTGCCCGACGTTTCGCCAAACTCCTTGGCATCTTCTGGGGCGTTTTCTTTATTAAATGATCAACAAGAAACAAACATAAGGACGTTATTGTTATAATATAATTTGTTAATATGTACACAAAACATTTGTACACACAAGAAAACAAGTAACAAATTTTATATTGAATCTATGAAAATTAGCAATTTTTAACATGATACTGAACTTTAAACACTTATGAGAAAACATTGAAAAAAACACTGAAAAACTTACATTTGAAAAATAAACTATTGTACAATTAACATTTAAAACTTCAAAATTTAAACAGCGTTCATACCATCACCCTGTGGTACATTTGTCAAACTAATACTAAAATGGCTATAAACATAATAAGTATGCAGCCGCGATGTCGTCAGTGTCTTCTTTTTTGTTTATTGTTACATTTCTTTTTTGCAAAATTCTTAAACTCTCTAGTGTGTATCTTGTTTTTTCTCTTTTTTCCCTATCCACTATTCTCGCGTTAGTCAGATCAGCTGTATGACCACTGGCTAGCACATGTTGGGCTAAAGCAGTGCTGTTTTTATTCTTCCTAATGTCGGCTTCATGTTCAGCTAGGCGAACTCCCAGTGGTCGTTTCGTTGTGCCGATGTACACCTTATTGCAGCCTTCGTTTTCGCTCCCTTTGCATGTGATTTCGTATACCACATTGCTTTGTTGGTGGGAGTCTATTGGAGATTTTGTATTTGTAAATATTGAAGACAAGGTGTTGTTAGATTTGTATGCTAATGTAATGTTCTGATTGCTGTTTATTTCGCCTTCAAGTTGTTGGTGGAACTTAGGTACGTATGTGACACTGTGATATCGCTTTGTCTCACTTGTTGTTTTCGACTTGGTTGTTTTGTTGTGCTGGTTGTCCATTTCCCTAATTTTTTGTTTGAGTAAACTTTGTATTAGGTGGTGCGGATAGTTGTTGTTAGTGAGAATTCTGTTTATTCTGTTAATGTTTGTGTCTCTAAATTGTGCGTGGCTTATTGTTATTATTTTATGGATTAGGTTTTTTGCGGTGTTAACTTTATATTTTAAGGGTTGCGAAGACATGAAATTAATTATGCGACCGGAGGATGTGGGTTTCGAATACCAGTCAAGTAGTATGGAGTCGTTTTTCTTATGAATCATGACGTCTAGGAATGGGATGCGGGAATTCGTTTCCGATTCCATAGTGAATTGTAGCTTAGGATGGTATTCGTTGAGTGTTTTTAAAATTATATCCACGTCGTTTCTTCTTACAATAGCAAAAATGTCGTCCACATATTTAACCATGAATTTAATGTCAATGTTGAGGTGTTTCTTTAGCTCCATCACGGTATTGTCCAATAAATTGTCCATAACTATGTCTGCAATCGTTGGCGAGAGGGGATTTCCCATCGGCATCCCAAAGGTCTGTGCATAGAAGTTTCCGTTGTATGTGAAGTAATTATTCTCTTTCAGACAGAAATTCAAAATGTTGTGGAATTTATTTTTTGGTATGTTCGTGTTTGGTTTAATGTCGTCCCACTTATCGAGGATGATTTTAATTGCTAAATGTGTCGGAATGTTGGTGAAGAGGGATATCACGTCGAAGGAAACCAATAAATCTTCCTCTTCTATCCGAATATTCTCTAGTTTTTCTTTCAGTTGGAATGCATTTTTTATGTTGTATTTTTCCATGACAAGGTTATGAAGAATATTACCTACATACTTGGACAAACTGTAACACGGGACATTCACTGACGAAGAAATTGGCCGTAAAGGCAAGTCCGGTTTGTGGATCTTTGGCAACCCATAAAGTCTAGGTGCAGTCGCTGCGGTGCATGTCAATTGTCGTTTCTCTTTGAATGCAATAATCTTGTTTTTGTACAAGTCGTCAACTAAGGTATTGTTTTTCCTCTGAAGTGTAGTCGTTGGGTCATTTCTCATTGTTTTATATGTATTTTTGTCGTCAAGTAGTTTCTTCATCTTCTCTGTATAGTCCGCTTTGTACAATATCACAGTTTTATTTCCCTTGTCGGCATCAGTAACTACTATTTCGTCTTTATATCGTTTTAAGAGTGTTTTAGTTCTACTGAATGTTTCTAAAATAAATCTTTCGGATGCGTTATGTTTAATATTGCGTTTGAATTGGATGATTCGGTTACTTAGTTTACATCTTGCTACTTCTTTGGTTCTATTATCTTCAATTGATTGTATTATCTCTTCCATTTCTGCTATAATTTGGACCGGTTTGAGACTAGTTTTAGTTGTGGGTATAGCAAATTTTCTTCCTAGGGATAATAGCCATTTGGTCTCTTCTGGAAATTCAATACTCGTTTTGTTTACGAACCAATCGTTGTTTTGATTAATTCCTAATTTTCTTAGTTGTTGGTGCTTAAGTTTTTCTAGCTTAGACGAATGTATTTTCTCCCGCTCTTCTATTATTCTCTGGCTTAAGCTATTTTGTTTGCAGAAAAAGGAATTCAGTTCCAATTCGTTTATACTGTGATGTAGTTGCTGTTTTGCGTGCAGAATGTAGCTTTTGGTGTTTTTAATGTTCATGTTTGTTTGTGTGATCTCTAGGTTTAATATTTTCTTTAGAAACATTCGTTTTGTTTTCTCTACTTTTGCTTTTATTTTCTGAGATGTGGTATTTATGTTTATGTTTTTTGTTGCGTTTGTCAAGTAGTTGGGTGTTAGTTCATACCGTCTACATTCCAATAAGAATTTTAGTTGTGTTATCTGTTTTGCCAGTTTTTGTTTTTGTTTACTGTAGTGTTTTAAGTATAAGCAAATATGCTCTCCGTGTTTGTATTTCATGTGCTTGTAATAATCTTTCATGTTTGTGAGTGTTTTTTGTTGATATAAATAAAGGGAATACTTCGGCAGGCCTTCCGATTAGAATAATATAACGATGAGTTGATGATCAGTTTCAAAATTATGTTTTTATTGTTGGTTTGTACTAGGCTATTTTGATCAATTTGGCTTATGTGCAAGAAAAAACTTTCTTCACTTTGCTGCCCGACGTTTCGCCAAACTCCTTGGCATCTTCTGGGGCGTTTTCTTTATTAAATGATCAACAAGAAACAAACATAAGGACGTTATTGTTATAATATAATTTGTTAATATGTACACAAAACATTTGTACACACAAGAAAACAAGTAACAAATTTTATATTGAATCTATGACAATTAGCAATTTTTAACATGATACTGAACTTTAAACACTTATGAGAAAACATTGAAAAACTTACATTTGAAAAATAAACTATTGTACACTTAACATTTAAAACTTCAAAATTTTAAACAGCGTTCATACCATCACCCTGTGGTACATTTGTCAAACTAATACTAAAATGGCTATAAACATAATAAGTATGCAGCCGCGATGTCGTCAGTGTCTTCTTTTTTGTTTATTGTTACATTTCTTTTTTGCAAAATTCTTAAACTCTCTAGTGTGTATCTTGTTTTTTCTCTTTTTTCCCTATCCACTATTCTCGCGTTAGTCAGATCAGCTGTATGGCCACTGGCTAGCACATGTTGGGCTAAAGCAGTGCTGTTTTTATTCTTCCTAATGTCGGCTTCATGTTCAGCTAGGCGAACTCCCAGTGGTCGTTTCGTTGTGCCGATGTACACCTTATTGCAGCCTTCGTTTTCGCTCCCTTTGCATGTGATTTCGTATACCACATTGCTTTGTTGGTGGGAGTCTATTGGAGATTTTGTGTTTGTAAATATTGAAGACAAGGTGTTGTTAGATTTGTATGCTAATGTAATGTTCTGATTGCTGTTTATTTCGCCTTCAAGTTGTTGGTGGAACTTAGGTACGTATGTGACACTGTGATATCGCTTTGTCTCACTTGTTGTTTTCGACTTGGTTGTTTTGTTGTGCTGGTTGTCCATTTCCCTAATTTTTTGTTTGAGTAAACTTTGTATTAGGTGGTGCGGATAGTTGTTGTTAGTGAGAATTCTGTTTATTCTGTTAATGTTTGTGTCTCTAAATTGTGCGTGGCTTATTGTTAGTATTTTATGGATTAGGTTTTTTGCGGTGTTAACTTTATATTTTAAGGGTTGCGAAGACATGAAATTAATTATGCGACCGGAGGATGTGGGTTTCGAATACCAGTCAAGTAGTATGGAGTCGTTTTTCTTATGAATCATGACGTCTAGGAATGGGATGCGGGAATTCGTTTCCGATTCCATAGTGAATTGTAGCTTAGGATGGTATTCGTTGAGTGTTTTTAAAATTATATCCACGTCGTTTCTTCTTACAATAGCAAAAATGTCGTCCACATATTTAACCATAAATTTAATGTCAATGTTGAGGTGTTTCTTTAGCTCCATCACGGTATTGTCCAATAAATTGTCCATAACTATGTCTGCAATCGTTGGCGAGAGGGGATTTCCCATCGGCATCCCAAAGGTCTGTGCATAGAAGTTTCCGTTGTATGTGAAGTAATTATTCTCTTTCAAACAGAAATTCAAAATTTTGTGGAACTTATTTTTTGGTATGTTCGTGTTTGGTTTAATGTCGTCCCACTTATCGAGGATGATTTTAATTGCTAAATGTGTCGGAATGTTGGTGAAGAGGGATATCACGTCGAAGGAAACCAATAAATCTTCCTCTTCTATCCGAATATTCTCTAGTTTTTCTTTCAGTTGGAATGCATTTTTTATGTTGTATTTTTCCATGACAAGGTTATGAAGAATATTACCTACATACTTTGACAAACTGTAACACGGGACATTCACTGGNTTTATGTTGTATTTTTCCATGACAAGGTTATGAAGAATATTACCTACATACTTGGACAAACTGTAACACGGGACATTCACTGACGAAGAAATTGGCCGTAAAGGCAAGTCCGGTTTGTGGATCTTTGGCAACCCATAAAGTCTAGGTGCAGTCGCTGCGGTGCATGTCAATTGTCGTTTCTCTTTGAATGCAATAATCTTGTTTTTGTACAAGTCGTCAACTAAGGTATTGTTTTTCCTCTGAAGTGTAGTCGTTTAATTCAATACTGTGTACAATAGTTTATTTTTCAAAGGTAAGTTTTTCAATGTTTTTTTCAATGTTTTTTTCAATGTTTTCTCATAAGTGTTTAAAGTTCAGTATCATGTTAAAAATTGCTAATTTTCATAGATTCAATATAAAATTTGTTACTTGTTTTCTTGTGTGTACAAATGTTTTGTGTACATATTAACAAATTATATTATAACAATAACGTCCTTATGTTTGTTTCTTGTTGATCATTTAATAAAGAAAACGCCCCAGAAGATGCTAAGGAGTTTGGCGAAACGTCGGGCAGCAAAGTGAAGAAAGTTTTTTCTTGCACATAAGCCAAATTAATCAAAATAGCCTAGTACAAACCAACAATAAAAAAATTTAAACGATTATTTTATATGTGTATCAGTGAAATCAATTATAAAACTTACATTTAATCATTTAAGCTAAATGGATCAGAACTGTCTCGTAGCAATCTCCTTTGTATATTAATGCAACAGTTGACTGCAGCATGTTCTTCCTCCTGAGACAAAAGTGCACCGGCCACTGAATCCATTCTATTTTACTTAATTAAGAAAAAGCGTTTTCAAATACGATTAAACAATTTTTTTTTAATTTCACTGTTCACTTGCATATATATTTTTTTTATTTATTTCTGTCAAAGCAGCTGATTAAGAACTTCGAATTTCACTATTTTAGTTGGCAACGCCGTTGATAGTTACGATCGGATTCCAGCATACCAATTTTCGAATTTTCGGAACGGAGCTACGAATTCGTAACTACGAACTTTCGGATTACAGCATAGGGGTGTACATAATGCACGGTGTGTTCGGGGAATCAGTGATCGGACAGATCTCCTTTACACCAAACGCGAAACCTTGCGCTGAAATTCATAGAAAATAAAGAAGACTTTAACCGCTGGTCCGTGCAATGATTAACCCTTGCGGACAGCGTTGCACAATCGCTCCGACCGGATTACGACGCAAGCAGTCGTGCTGGACCACCATATACGTCTGAGTCCACAATCGAACGTGGACCCTAAGAACGCGGCTCCCTTCCAGTTCATGTACTTGGCGGATCCCCAATTCTTTCGCGCGTCACCAATACGCCTCACACCAGGCCTCAGTGGCGTAGCCAGGGGCGGATTTCTTCGTCAGTGACATGAAACTTTTTATTCTTGAATTAATAACATAATACTACTTTACCCTTCTGATTTATAATTTTTTTATTTCAGACTAATGACAAATTATCTTTTAATGAATATATAAAATTATCGGTTGGTGGATTATGTATTTGAATATTTGCGAAATACACTAGGCCATTTTGCTTAGTCCCCCACAGTGTTGGGGGAAATAAAATTGTTCCTTCAGTATGAAATCCATATAAAAACTGTACTTTTCGATTGTAAATTGTATCGACTTTTTAATTTGCTCAGATGCGTGCATGCATACATAGATTCCCTTCAAAACCAATGATTTGATGGTATTCACGGGAAAGTTTATGCAGGTACATTTACATATTTTACACTTTTAACATAAATGTCAAGACAGATATTTTAAGATACACTTCTTAACAAACACATTTCTTTAAGATATTATGAATGGATAAAAGAGACATCTTCTTTAAATTCAGTACTAAAACTTGACATTTCAAGTGCTTATCAAAACTTTATACGTGTTAACTAGATTCGCCATTTATCTTAAAATTATATAATTTTAATTATTTGTTTATAAAAATGCAGTTTACACTTTAACAAAACCCGTATAAATCCAAAGTTTAATATTTGCGCAACATTAAAAAATCAACAAACTTTCGTAAAGCCTTTTAATTAGATTTCCTAGAAATACATATTTTGAGTATGCAGTTTTGTAGCCCGATCAATTCAAATAAAGCGCAAGTTTAAAATACATAGCTGTGACTTATCGTTGATTTTTAATATATTTTTTTTTGTTTTTTTATGAAGGCGTTGCTCACTTTCTTCATTAAAAAATCGTCGAACATACTTAGATAATATGGCAGAAAATTACCGGCATCGTCAAAAATATGCCACACATCAACTGTAAATCACGGCTACTTTAAATTTTCACTTTATTACACTAAAATTGAATGAGCTAAAAAACTGCAAACTTTAAGAGATAAAACTGAAATGGAAAGTTCGAAATCTTTACGAAAGCTTGTCGATTTTTTTTTAATGTTGTTCAAAGATTAAACTTACTTTCGTTTAGTGTTTGTTAAGGAATAAACTATATTTTTATAAACAAATAATTCAAATTAAAATATAATAAATTAGATAGTCAAATCTAGTCAATATGTGAGTGTCGTAAAGTTATGATATTTAAGAACATCTCTTTCTTAATTAACGATGACACTGTTTCGATATGAAGCTGGTTTCGACATTTAGTTTTAATAAAATTTAATATCGAAAATATTCTTTCAAAACTTGCCAAGGAATGTGATATAATGGTTCGTTAAAAACCTTTTTTCAAAACTTATAAAGGCAAAAACGATAAGGCGAAGACAAAAAGAGAATAAAAAAAATTCCCGCAGTGAATTTTCAGATTTTTAAAACGGTATAGTAATTTAATTTTTTAAATTTAAATAAAGCATGAAGACCCCATGGAATAAACGAGTAGATAAATAATATATAACGGTAAAACTGGCACATACATAAATATATGAAAGAGTGCACTCAGGCGACGCCTCTAGCCATTGTGTGTCACAGATTTAAGTTATCGATGGAAATTTTTGTTTCATCCCTCCCAAAGCCAAATCCTGGCTACGTCGGGGTTTACATTTTTGTCAATCGCGGTTCATGCCCTCTCCAAAAAGGTCGGTTGGAGGTGCCACGCCCCCTCCTCCTCCGCCCACCACGCACACAACGATCGGCCGTAAAGGAAAGTTTCCCCTTTTACTTTGTAAGGGTTACAATCCCTTAGCGCGGCCGAAGGCCTCCTCCCCAAAAGGAGTTCAGCTCTTCTTTTCCGGCAACACAGAAGGGAGAATTCTGCGTCGTAAGGGTTACAATCCCTAAGCGCGGCCGAAGGCCGCCTACGCAAAAATGAGTTCAGTGAAAAAATATTGTGGATAGCGTAGCCGGTGTTGGACAGACTAGGGTTGTTTTATATAAATACTTTGTACAATGAGAACTCGTGATTAAAAAAATGGTTTGTATAGATTTCTTTAGTATTTTTTTAATTTAAATTAAATTTTTGTAATAACTATTTAAAATATATATAAGTTACGTATATCAAATTTCAAAATCCATCCATTCGTTTTTAAGAAATCTTGATTTCAAAAATAGCTTATTTGATAATTCTTGTTGTTGCTGTTTGCCCAAAAAAATAAGTATACCGTTATACTTAGCTCAATCACCTCTATCGATTCCAATTTTTTATTTTTTTTATTTGAGATTTGGAGCCCTACTGCATTTGCTCCATAGAAAATTCCAATACTGAAGTATGTGGCACTTACCACTGATTTTTGGCATCTTTCAGTTGGGTAATGGTGTTGGCTATTTTCTTCCATATAAAAGAAAAGAAAATGCGCAACGCCGAACTCGGAAAATACATTGAAAATATGTGCATACCTGAGTTTTGATTTTTTAGTAGCTACTTAGGTTAAGCTTGTGTTACGTTTTTTGGCAAAAATGTCGTTTAAAAAAGTTGTAGAATACGAGAATGTAAAAACATCCAACTTACAGCCATATTCCGCCACACTGACAAAACTCACCGCGATGACAATTGATATAAAAATGACAATTGCAGCTTTTTGGTATTCGCAGCAAAATTCAAAACTCGAATCATGCCAATTGTCATTTTTATTGTCATGACCTATTTGGCAGGTGACAAAGCAAAAACATATGTTTGTGTTGACATAAAAAGTGCGACGATTTAATAAATTTCTGAAAAAAATATAAAAAAGACTAATTTCAATGGCAGAACAAATTTTAGTTATTTGCGCAGCCGTGGTTGTGGAAGACGAGCAAAAGCGGGAAAGGAAGCAAGTTTTGAGGGAGCTCAGGGACGACAGCGACCCGTTTTCGATGCAGGAGATAGTTTTTATCCAAAATTTTCACTTCCTAAATCAGTTTGTCGCGAACTAATGCAACAATGGAGCCACGCGACCCTCAGAAATCCGCCATCCCTTTTTAATAAGATTTTTGGGGAGCCTGTATTTCTACGCGCATGGTTCATACCAGAAATGTGCAGGAAACAACTTCCAAATTGCGATGAGCCAGTTGCCATTCATCACATCTCAAAGCTAATAATGGATGTTAAGGGCGGCGAAATAAGGGTCCCCAAAACTTCAAATGAGGTCTTGGAAGTTAAAAAGGGGTAATAAATAGAGTTTTTAAAAAAGGTGAATTCAATTTATGTTATATCATTACTTTCAGCTTTTATACGGCATTTAGGATTAAGGGAACGATAGGTGCTGTTGACTGCTCGCACATAGGCATAGTCGCTCTATCATCAACAGACCCAAGTAACCCTCTATGCATGTATATGAACCGGAAAGGTTTCTACAGCATTAACGTAGAGGCTGTAGGTGTTACTACATATTTTTTTTTACATACGGTAAATAATAAATAAAATTAAATTTCAAAGCAATGACAATTCTGTAAGAAATCTAATATATTGTTATACAATTTTCTTTCTCGATAGGTATGTGATAATCGTTTGCCGTTCACGGCTATAAATGCAACATTTCCTGGATCCTGCCACCACTCCGGTATTTGGACTACATCCCCAACACGCCTTCATCTTCTAAGAACAGATAGAAGCCAGTGCGATAATTGGTTGCTACGGGACCAGGGTTACCCACTGGAACCATGGCTTCTAACTCCAGTGGCAGAGCCATCGAATGCAAAAGAAGTGACATTCAACACCCTACACGCAAAGGCTCGAAATTGCGTAGAAAGAGCTTTCGGTGTTCTGAAATCAAGATTTCGGTGCTTAGCAAAGCACCTATTTCCATATATGTTTCCAGTATAAGTATATATATTTCCAGTAAAGTTTCAATATGTTTGGAATGCGCCGCGCCGCGGTATGAAAAATTCGATTTGTATGGGAGATGCCACGCACCCTTGATATAACGAAATTATTATCTGCCTATTACCAAAAGGTGTCCAAAATTTCAAAAAAATCGGTACAGCCATTTGCGAGATCACCTCTTATAAAAAGATGGGACTTCTCTTTATATAATTAGTATAGATTATATTTTTTATTTTTTTTTACACCAATGCAAAACCAATTCAATTTAAAATTTATAAAAACTATATGTACATATCAGTTTGATGTACATAAGTACTAAGGATGTCAATTTTCGGGGTTTTGTCGACCCCGGGATTTTCGGGATCTGAAAATACAATCCCGGGATATCGGGATTGTCCCGAAATTCAGGTAAAACTGCAACACATCTGTGATCATCATATTATAGTATTTTAAATCAGTTGCCAAAATCGATGCAAAATATTTTTGTAAGTGACTGCATTTGGTACAGCAGTGCCTATGTAACTATATAAATTTTTTTAAATCACTGTTTGAGATCAATTTAAGATGTTATCAGTATATTTAAGTAAAAATAAAAAAGTTAACACATTTAAGTAAAAAATAAATATATAAGTGGAAATGCGATCTTAAAGAAATTATAGCATTAAGGGTTGCAAAAAATCCTTGTTTTGCCCTTGGGAGGGAATATTTGTGATAAAAATTTAATTGGCTAACAAAAAAATTGTTTCCAGCAATCCCGGGATTTAAATCGACTAATCCCGGGATATTCGGGACTTAAAAAATACCGGGATCCCGGGATCCCGACATCATATAGATTTTCGAATTCAGTCTTGTACTCACATATTTGTACTTGTTTTTAACAAGTTTTTTTTTTCCAACTGTCAAAATTGTTCTTTGCGTTTGGTACAGCAAAACTCAATTTATTCGCACACCATGCCGAAAAAGTTACCGATTGCCA